GGGCATTCTATACCTCTGTAATATTAACTTTCCCTTCAAAACTTATGGTCAACAGAATAAAATAATCTAGGTTCTCATTACTATTGAGTATAATGCTAAAGTATCAGAGTAATAAGTTACAGAGATTACAACATAAATAACATTGCAAAATTCTTGAATAAGAATGTAAAGGAAGTATAATACAACAGGTAGCTGGTATGTGCTTTAGAAATTTCAAATGTGAAAAATAGAACGAATTACTCCCAAAGTTACTCAATGTCTGATGCCCTGGCTATCTAATGTTACTCTCAAAAATAAAGTTAAAAAATACACATAAAATAATGATGAGTTCACATCTGAAGTGCTTCTAAACTTAATAAGGACATAAAATTGGTACAAACATCACAAATTTGAAGGTTGATATATCCTACGTAAATCACGTTTTCTTCATGTGTTTCTCCTATAAATACTTTCACTAAACCTTGAGTTTAAATTGAAATCAAGCTTTCGGACCTTTCACTTTTCTGTCCCAATATGCTCTTCGCAACATTGCTATTTCCTCAGTGATGGAAGGATCTAAGCAATCTCAACACTGGATTTTAATTTCTGCAGTCCTTGCTTGGCTGACCAAACTTTTTAGGATGCATAAATTGCAGAATCCTATTAGTATGTACTGAATTACTAGAAATAGGATGATACAGCAAAAACATTATTTGACCTCCCTGGATCACTGTCCTTAAATGACAGATACCCATAAACAAGGTATGGAGGTGATAAAATATGTTGCCATAAGGGGCGATCAGTGTACAAAAGTCTAAAAGGAGACTCTAAATGGTAGCTATTCATGTGTGTGCTACTTGGTTCCTGCTGAGCCAAATACGACCTTGTACATTATTATAGCTATGGATGTGTCTTCGTACTTGAACTCCCAGCCTTTGCTAACATTATATTTGCTTATGTGTCAAGTTTTGAACCATCATCAAGTACTTAGTTGTACCTACAACCTGGTTCCTATAATAATAAGTGTTTTCTAACATCAGGATCGGTGTGTGTCAAGGAATGGGGATGTTTCAATAGTGATGCGAAATGCAAGAATATAGTCTTATATGCTGGGTACTTAAATTAGTTCAAAAATAATGAGATAGATTTTTTTCTTTGGATTACCTGGTATGCTTGAAAATGATAACATTTCCCAGAGATAATCTTGATTTTAAGATTGATAATATTACAGCCCACTAGCCTCACACAATCCTTCCAGCCAGATTATTTTTAAAGTTCATTAATTTATGTGACAACTATTTATGGGACACCTACTGCATTGAGTTACCATAAGAACATAAAAATAATTAGGAGGCAGCTCCTATCCTCAAGGAACCTAAAATCCTGTAGGAGTAAAGATGTATACGCAGTTGTCCCTTTGTATGCAGTGGGGAATGAATGGTTCTAAGATCTCCTGTGGATACTAAAATCCTTGAAATCTCAAGTCCCTGATATAAAATGGTGTAGTATTTGCTTATAACCTACACACATCCTTTAGTATACTTTAAATCATCTTTAGATTACTTATAATACCGAATACAATGTAAATGCTGGGTAAATAGTTGTATTGTTTAAGGCATAATAAGAAAAGAATGTCTGTACATGTTTAACAGAGATTTTTTTTCCAAATATTTCTGATCTGTAGTTGGTTGAATCCACAAATGCAGAACCTACAGATAGGAATGGGCTGACTGTACATACAATTATAATATTAGGTGGTATGTCTTATAACCAAGAAGTGGTACAATAACTTGATCAAGGCCCTCAAGGACAGACAGAATTTCAAAAGGCAGAAATGGGGAAATGAGTAACATTCCCTAAATGACAGCCTTAACAAAACCACGGAGAAAAGAAAACACCAAGTGAGTTTGTCAGGAGTCATGTTCGGCTGCAAAAATGGATATATGATTGGAAGTATTTAAGAGAATGGTGCAAAGACAAGGTAGGACAGACTATGTAGGCCTTAAATGTCAGGAAATCTAGACTTCATTGAGTGGACAAGCCAACTAAAGGCTCTTTCTGACCAAAAAAGTTCCATAAGAAGGTTATTTTGGCGGCTCTTGGTCTAAAGATATAGAACCTCAACTTGGATGATTTGATTGATTTATAAATATTTATTGAGCCCCTACTATATGACAGGCACTGTCACTATACTCAGTATAGAAGATATAAAGATGAATAAGAGTTCTATATGATTGAGACTCCTTACCTTTCTGACTTCATTCCCTGTTATTCTGACATACTGGCCTCCTTGCTGTTCCCAGGCATGCTGTCATCTTAGGCCAATTGCACTGGCTGTTTCTGTTCCCAGAATCCTCTTTCCTCAGATAAATGCACAGTTAACTCCACCTGTCCTTAAAGATTTGGCTCAAACGTCACCTTTCCAGTGAAGCCTATTCTGACCACTCTATTTTAAGATGTAACCAGCTCTTTTTTCTTTCTTCTTTTTCCATTCACTCACCACCTAACACATTATATAATTTATCCATTTATTATGTTTTTTGTTTGCTTTTCCCAACAAGAATGTAAACTACAGTGGGACAGGAGTCTTTATGTCTTTTATTCATGGATATATTCCAAGCACTCATGAGTGCCTGACATATATGAGCACTCAATACATATTTGTGGGACACTGTTTAATAGAGGAACTGTAAGAATTCATAATCTTCTCAGGAAAGAGAATTAACAAACTGTGATAAATTCATTAAAAGAGGGATATATAGTATGCCATGAAAGCCCAAAAGGAGAGGCACCTGGAAAGGCTCTGGGAAAATTGCTTTTAGAAGCTAATGATGGAGTGAAATTAGAAGGGTAGGAGTTTGCAGTAAAAATGAAAAGAAAAGGTAATATAAGCTGAGAGAACAGCAGAATAACCTATAATTGCATTGAAAGAACTTGGCTTAATCATCTTTATGTCAGTAGCTCGTAATACAGAACTTGGTACACGGTGCCACTCAATAAACATTTGTTGAATTGAACTAAGTTAGAGAGCTGTCTTTATGTAAGTGAAGAAAGTTCTGAGAAGGAACAACAGACGAAAAAAATCAGGACAGCATTAAGTCAAAGAAAACTGCAGTAAATCATTATCAGTGGTGTCAAATTTTTAGCAGTCAAAGAGGATCAGGCTGGAAAAAAGGCCTTTGGACTTGGTACATAGCAGAGCAGTTTTTAGTAGGGTAATATAGGCAGAATGCAAACTACATTAAGGCGTCAGTGTATTAAACAAAAGTAGACATAGTAAGCAGAGATTATTCTTCTGAAAAGTTTAGAAGGTACTTTCAAATATGTTATCTCATATGATATCATCTCATCTTACAATGAGGGTACTGAGACTTAGGAAATTAATTTGTCCAAGGCCATCAGTCAGCAAGGGTTTGAAATAAGATAGGGATCCAGGTTTTCTGATCCTAAATCTCATTCCCTTCTCCCCCTCCCAGCACATTCTTCCTTTGCTATCATTTATATGGCAGTATGCTTCACAAAGTAGGCAGAGAATCCGCCACAATATCCCACCAATATTCTGACATAATCAGAAAAGAAGGAAGAGTGAGCTTGAAGAAAACTTCAAGTGTAAATTCAGTGCTAGGAAGAGAAACTGAATTATTTCCCTAAAGGGATTTGAGGCAGTAAGTGCAGACTACCCAGACTATCTCAGTGGTGGAAGATATTGAACACGTGCAGACCTTACAGTGTAATTCAATTTGCCCGTGTACATAAGCCAGCTACACCTTATTCTTTAAGTTAGAGCTTCCCAACCACTGTGCAGAAAGGGTTACAGGTGTACAGTGATATTGATCCCCTCAGCCCTTAGGGCTACAGGTCTAAATTCTCTTCTCTTTACTATAATATGCCATACAATTATTATCAGTGCCCGAGAGCCATTGTATAAATAAACTCGGAAGCACTGTCTTGGGTTACTTTTAAGCAAATGATTAATTAAAAAAAGTCAGTGTAGGCGCCTTTACAACTTAGGATATTGTTTACATTAGTCACATATTCAGGGAGATAAAACTGTAGAGTGAATCCTTTTTTAATTCAGTACCCAAAGACAAGGCCAAATGAGTGCTGCCAATATAATTTTTTCCTCCTTTCCAAATGTATTAAGATACTTGAAATAGATTTACCAAAGATATACCGTACTGGGTAAGCCTCAGCATTTAAATGATATTCTTCATCAGAACCAAAGTTAAAGAGAATACCATCATACCTATCATATAAATATAAAAAGAAAAAACATAAAAACATACCTGTGGGGCGTATCCAGGAGGCACATAAATAGGAGGCACAGAACCATTTGGGGACATCATTGGAACCTGAGCAGGACCTGAATGGATCACAGAAATGTTGTATTAATCCATGATTGCTTATTGAGCTGAAGTTGAAAACAATTTAAATTTACTTTGAATACTTCATCTAAAGTAAACACTCAAGCCAACAGTGATTATATTACTATGAAAAGAAATTCATATGATTTGCTTGTTATAAAAGTTTATCTTGTAAAGTGTATTGATTACACTTTACCTATACTGGTGTTTCTTAAACTTTCCCGGTAGCAATGATAGTCACGTGGGGAGCGGGGAGCTTTTTAAAAGCTCTCTGAGAGATTCTTTTTTGGTATGCTTACAATGGGGCTTTGAATCATTATATTTACTTTGCAAATATACCAGGTGACTCTTATGATTGTGCAAGTGTAGAAACAGTGACCTAGAGGAAAATCAAACTAAACTTTGCATACAAAATCAATGAAAACTACGAAAGGCAAAATTTTCAAAAGTAACAGGAAAGAAATAAAGGCAAGAGGAAAAGCAGTAAGAGGGAGAATAGTTAGAATTTGGAACTTGTTCTGTTAGGGTTAAAAGATTCTTGTGTAATGATGTGTGAGTCATGTCTGTGGGGGCTTAAGAACAAAGAAATGCCACGCATGTATATTTACCCAAGGAAAACTTTTTTGGTTTCTTACGCTGAAAAGTTTTAAAAAAGAAAATTCGGCTTCTCTAATTCTATACTTCCTTTCACTTTTATAGTGTTATGCTTTCCAGATAACTTGTAAAAATATTATCTCTAGTTTACCTTCTCTTTTAACCTTTCTGTGAATAAAATAAGCACTTTTAGAAGATGTGTTTTATTCTTTCTAGGAACTAAAATCTTAACTTGCTTTATGTAACTTCTTACTTCAGATCCTTTCTTCCTGTAACTTCAGACTGCAGTGTTGCCTCACACCCACAAGTTTTTAATAAGTTGAAATGAAACCTTTTCAAAGAAATTACTTATTTCTAGGGAAATAAAGTACAGGAGTCAGATGAAGAACGCAATTGGGAAGGATCTCTTTTATATGCAGAATTACAATCCACCATTACATAATGGCTCTCAGTTATAAAACAAATGAAGGAGGAAAAGCTTAATTGTAGGGCAGAAAACAAACAACTTTCACAGGTAACATTATGCATACTTCAGAAAACCAGAATGAAAAGCATGAAAGTCACAACAAATCTGATTACAGCCACTCTGCCCTTTCTAGGGAAGGTGAGGGGTGAGGACAGAACCACACAGTGGTGATGGAGGGAGGATGGGGGAGATGAGAGAGGTAGGGAAGAGAATGGAGGTGCAGGAGGGGAAATACTAACTAGTGTTAAGAAAAGGCAGGGAGAGGTGAGAGAGGAAGGGGGAAAGGAGGAGGATCAGGGAAGAGACAGGAGGTGAGTGAAGAGGGGGAGGGTGAAGAGGAGAAAATAGAAAGGTAAGGGGGGAGAGAAAAGGAGAGGGGTAGGAATGGGAGGAAGGGGGAGGAGGAGAGGAAAGACAAGAGGTGGGGAAGAGAAGAGAGTAGGGAGAGAAAGTAAGGAGTGAATGTGTGTGTGGAGACTACTGAGTTACACTATATAAAATCTGGCTATCAATATAACTTTTCAACTAAATACTCTTCCCATCCAAAACAAGACCACCAAATACACGAAGTTGTTCAGAATATCATCTTAATTACACATAGCTAATACTAATTTACTATGTACCAGGCCTTTTATATATATTTTCTCTTCATAATCATTCAGGCAAATCATCAGGTAAATATCATCATCAACATCCCCATTTTCTAGATGTGGAAATGGAGGCACAGAGAAGTTAAGCTTGTCCAAGTGGTAGAATTGCGATTCAAAACCAGGTAGTTTCATTTCTACGGATATATCCCTACATTTTTAGTGAATATTAAAATACTATGCATTATTGGCAACTGATGTAATATGAGGCTTAAGAACTACGTTCTAATACCTCTAAGGAAAATTAAGGCCTTTGTTGTCTTCATATCCCTGAAAAACATGAGAGAAAGGAAGAACAAAATTTTCCTAAGTTTAAGCAAACATTACCTATTAATTTACTAAATAAAACTGGTGAGCCGCAGAAAGGCTTTATTCAAAACTAGGCAGAAAGGCTTTGTTCAAAACTCACCTTTATACATCTAGGCAGAAAGGCTTTATTCAAAACTCACCTTTTAACTTCAATATTCTCAACTCAAGAGAAATGAGAAAAGTTTTAAAGTAATGCTGCTTTACTTCCATTAGACAATTTGTATAAACTACAGTAAACTGGCCTTCTAAATACTTAGAGCTGGCTTAGATATTATTCATAACACATGCAAAATTTAGCTGAGAACCAGAAAGAGAATTCACTGAAAATCACATTTGTCATCTTAATAAAGGAAATTAACATTTGTTGCACTTTCACCATATGTCTTGGGGACTGTGGGTCCTTTCACATGTTGTCAAATTTAATCAAATTTTATCAAGTTATAAGAACAGGTGTTTTTGTTTTGCCAGCAAAGCACTAAGTCATTGCTGATTACATTTAAAATTGTAAAACTACAAAACTGCTTTAGGTTACCTTCCTTTTACTAGAAATATGAAACTATAAACACTATGTTGTTACAATTCAAATCACACTATACTTGGATAGCTGCTAAAATAGTTTATAATTTAGTAATACAAAATTCTACTTTATCCTTTAATTATATTTAAGTGTGATACTGAAAACAGAAAAAAACAAACGTAACCTAAAATAAACCAGCAGTAAATATATCACTAGCTATAGTCCAGGAATAATACTCATTAATAACTTATTTCCCTATGAAGTAATCATTTCACTCTAGCAACTAAATTTTTTTATTGTGAGGTGGAAATGGTACATCGTTAGATTATTTTTTTTTAAAAAAGACAATTCATCAGTACCATATTTAATACATAACATATTGGTGTGAAGTAACATTCAACACTGAAGACATAAACCCCTATGGTATAAACATAGTAAATACAAGTATTGATGTTTAGAACTACAATGTTTACAGCATCATTTCTGTTGCTACTCCTGTGTCTACAGCAGCAAAACCCTAAAGCCTTGCCTACTTAATGATGTAAATGTCTGCTTACCTCCTTAGTTCCAACAATACCTTTTAATTGAGGAAGTACTAACAGATTGAGTGCAAACTGACTTAAATTTGTATGCAGTGAGGGGGATTTTGTCCCAAGGAAAATCTTTTACAGGTTGTACCATTAAATGCATACCTGGCACAAGAATAGCAATATCTCAACTGTGGATACAACTAGTAGCTCCTTCATAATCTACACGATTTGAGCAAAATCTACCCCAAATCATAGAGCTATTCATTATGTTTCAAGGGCATATTTCCTATTTCAAAAACCTGCAGAAGAGGAAATAATTCTAACCAACTGTCTTAAGAAATTTGAGAAGCTCCCCACCCCAGTTCCTTAAAAAGCGCCATCAGTGACTTAAACATATTTCATCTAGTGTAAGTTAAATTCTTCTTCATTTTTCCCTGTTAATATACATTCATATTTAAGACTTTTCAAAAAAACAAAACTACAAATTTATTCAAGAGTTTTAATTCTTAAAATGCAACGTGCTGCTGACATGCTACACGTTCTCTTTATAAGCAAGCTTTCACAATGGCTCCCAAATAATCTGATGCCAATTTTCGGATTTTAGCTTTAAAAAGAAAAACCTAGTAAAATAAAGGTCCTAAAATGGAACATTCTGTGGAATATGAAATCAGCCTAACTCTACATGGAGTCTAATCTTTTTATAACTACATGGCAACAATTTAAAATATATTCATAGCAATTATATTTGGTATCTATTTAAAAAGACACACGGCATGACTTTAGACTAATACAATGCTTTCTATGTTTTAAAATAAAAGCAGAATGTAAAAAAACAACCAGTAAATCTTACCACTCATTTTGTTTTTACAGTAGCAGCAGAGAACAAGAAAATCCAACAAGGAAACAGCGTAGTACACGTTAACAGCTTTAATTGGAGAACGGGTTTCTTTCTTTCTTTCTTTTTTTTTTGCAAAGCTGTAAGAGGAAAAGATCCTTTGACCGAGTCACGTGATTATCACGTGACCTGCAGTGACCCAGGGAAAGGGGGAAAAAAAGCAAATGTTCCTGCTTGCCGCGTTTCTGATATAGAAGAAAACAATTAAATGATTTCTAGTACTGCTGCCCTGAATTTGACCATCTTTCAGACTTCCTTATGAACCAATCCCAAATCTTATCAAAGTATACCTTACAGAAATATATATTGTGATGTAAAACGATTCTCTTTGTTTTCACTTTCCCCCAATAACACCACATGCTATCTAATAATTTAATATTTTATTCATCCAGCGTGCTGCTGATTTTCATTTAGAAAGTGTAGGATAAATATTTATTATTTTAAAAGATGTGGTCCGAAATGTCATTTTATGACTTAATCCACTCTCCATACTCAATCCTTAAGGAATGCCCACAATACTCACAGTCTTGATAGGCATGTTCCTTAAAGATGGGATTTTTGTTTTGGGCTAGTATTTGCCTCTCAAGTTAATACAGGCTACTATTTTTATTGTTGCTATTTTCTTTTTGCTGATTTTTTTTTTTTTTAAAGATTTAACCTGGACATTAATACAGGTGCTTAGTGGATGGCATTTTCACTCACATTCATAAATCTGTTTAAAGACAGGCTCAGGTTTGGGTTCAGAGCTCTCTATCCAAAAACAAGTAGAGGCCAGAAAAGGAGACTAAAGATGTCCAGTTACAACAAAAGACTGTTAAGAACTTTTGGAGATCTTTCATTACTTTATGGTGGTAAGTAAGTTCAGAGGAAATTTATTAATAGCTAACACAAATATACAGGTAATGGTAGTGATTGTAATTTGTAACAAGTTGTGCAGTGGAAAGAAAATAAATTTTGGTATCAAAAGATATGTTTTAATAACAGCTTCAGTATTTATTATCAAGGCAATTTACTGCTCTTTGGTTTCAGTTTCTTCCTGTG